ATCTACATACAGTTTAACAAAAATAATGTCCCTTCTTCGGTTTCGAAATTCCTGTGCGTTTCCGAATTATTTGGTTTTTCGTGTTTGATGCGGTACTAAATTAAGTAATTTATTTATTATCAACTATCGACTAAATATTTAATTCTTTCAACGAAACCTACCTAAATATGGTTTGTTAAGGATTCTAAAAAGCCGAAATCTCTTATTCTTTATCTCTTTCCGAGGTAGTCAAAATAAATATTTGTTATATCAAGCTATACCCAAATACAAGACTTTTATAAGTTGAAATCTGTTCCATTACATACATACAATACATTATTGTGCAGTTGCCAAAAAGTTTTAAGAAGTTGTTAATTAAATATTGTTATAAATTCAAAAATATTCTCCATAAACATTAACATTAATGTTCATTCAATGTTTTTTTTTTTTGTAATTTAGTTGCAGTACATTAGTATTTACGCAGCACATAATAAATAAGAATTGTTAAAATTAGTGTAGTAAACAGATTTCAACTTATAAAAGTCTCGTATTTGAGTATGGCTTGATATAACAAATATTTATTTTGACTACGTTGGAAAGAGATAAAGAATAAGAGATTTCGGCTTCTAAGAATCCTTAACAAACCATATTTAGGTAGGTTTTGTTGAAAGAATTAAATATTTAGCCGATAATTGATAATAAATAAATTACTTAATTTAGTACCACATCAAACATTAAAAATCAAAATAACTCGGAAACGCACAGGAATTTCGAAACAGAAGAAGGGGAATTATTTTTGATAAACTGTATGTAGATAATGAAAATAACAGTTTTTTTTAAAATAGTCATTGGCATAGAAGTTCTGTCTAAGAAAGGGGTTGAGCACCCCCTCCATTCCGCCATTGTGCAAGTTTTTGAACATTCTTATCACATATTTTGTGCCCCTTAATTAATAGGCATTATTCCCCAAACATGAAAAAAATCTAAGCATTCGTTTATGTTATAATGATAATTCGAGAAAAAAAAATTATATTCAACCCTGTATCTCGGAAACGAAGCCTTCTACGACATATGTTTATAGGAAGTTTTCTTTTTATAAACATGTATTCTATCTCCTGTTAAAGTTTGTCTACAAAAAACTGAATCACCCTGTATATTAGAGCTCTGTGTGGGTAGAGCGATGCCCGCACAATTTTTATTTGTACATAAATATTCAAATGAACTAGTGGCGGCAGTCTTCGACTTTTACGGCAATTTTCCAGCCTACTATATTTTTTTAGATATCTTCTAATTCAGTTGAAACATCAGTATTAAATTTGGTATGCGCTTTTGACTATTCAATATTCATTATAAGATTAAAAAAGAAATGGGTTACGTGGAACACGCTTTTTCATAGCCACATTGGTAAAAACAAATTTTTGCCACTTGGGAAATACTTGTTTAGACTCAGTAGCAAGAAGAAATGATTATTATTAAAAAAAATTACTGTTCCTCAAATTGTTTGTTACACAGAACATGACTAAAATGTATATCGTTATGTAACAATTATTATAAAGAATAATACGTTCACTTTCATAAAAGAAAATATTTTTAAACACTAAAGGAGGACAAAAAGTTAGTCTTCCACGGATGAAACCTGTGCCTCCCTACGTATTCGAAGCATCAGAAACCGATACTTCAGTGTTTTCTAAATTGCAACCTAGTCTATGGGTCATAATCGCGGGACTTAAACCTAATAGACTCTTTTAGTGTAGCGTCACATATTTAGGCAACTCGCAACAAATTGTCATAGTTGAAATTGTATAGATCGAATCTGACCCTTGTTTACTATTTACATAGATACTATAGACATGAACTTCAAATTAACTTATTTTTACAAGGATTTAGAATTTAGTAACAGCCAAGACGTGTTTCGTAAAATATATTACACACTATGACTTTGTATGATCTAGAAATGCGTGCGTTATTGTGTGAGTGGGTCATATTATGCGCAGTGTCTGTTTGTGGGTTAGGAATTTTGGCCATAAACTATTAACTAAGTTCACGTCACTTACTTATCTAAGATGTAAGGTGCTTGAACCTTGATGTCTTCGGGCTGTAATATAGTGGTTTAATTTTCTGACTTGAAGTCGCCAAATGTAGAATTTTAGCTGATTATTAGATTTTAGAGATGGTTTTCTTGTGCGCATTAGAAGCCGGCAAAGTTGAATACTCAAAATATGCAACGAATCAGTTTTCTAGTATGTAGCCAAGATGGAAGCTACTAAATGGAGAATTTTGGCTGCTCTTTACGTTTTTAAAAAAGAAATTGGAGGATGAGATTTTCAATGGCAAATTCGGTTTATTGGGTTCAAACATATGAGTTTATTTTAACAGAATTCTGTCTCCTTTAGAAACACAGAAACAACAGTAAATAATAATTTAATAATTAATAATAAACTAAGAAACAAAACAGTAAATTGCGTAATGCTGTTTTACTGAAGAATCTTCAGCCTTTCAAATGTTTGTACACTAACTTCGATGTACTTGGTACTTTGTATTTCAAAAGTAAAAATATTATGGCTACTAAGCATCAATTTCCGAACCTGTTTCATGACATCTTCATTGAAATGATTTTTAGATAATAAATATTTTTTGTACGAGCAGACATTAATCCTGAAGGAATGGACTGCTGGATCTTCCTTCGGTTTTTACAGATAGCTGCTGCCTTTTCAGGCCATCAAGTGAATTAGAGGAATCCATTTTTTGATTAGGAAACCAATGTGAAAAATGTCTCTTTAAATAGCATACGTTGTCCATTGGGCATCTCATTAGTGACCATGTTAATGTACAAACATCCATGGACTTCAAATTAGGATTCAATACATTTAATTAATTGATTGATTCTGCAAACTGCGTTATTTTCTTTATCTGACTATTCTGATTCCATTTTATTTTCAAAATTACATTTCTGCTACTGTTCTAATTTTAATATCTTTATTTATTTGCGTAGTTGTGTTGTTTAAAATTCAAGTTGGACATCGTTTCTCTTAAATCATAGCAACTGGTGCTATTGAAGTCGACGTTTTTAGCTGATTATGAGTTAGGTAAGTAACTTATTTTTATTATCCTCTCTTTTTATACTTTTATTGTACAATGTTGAGTATCTGTAACATTCATGGCCAATTTTCCTTGTACTTTGTGATGTCTAGTAGATATATACCTATTCTTATTTTTTTAAATAAATATAAAAAAACTGGTAACAGAAATTTACATATACGCCAAATAATAGGCAACTCCATAGTGCACACTGTCATGAAGAATTTCTCAATATTTTCATTAGATCGATTTTAGATCATATGTACTTTGAATATAAGTGCCAAAACAATGGCTTTTTTGTTCCATAAATATTGCGATATTCTGGCAATATCAGAAATATTTAAGAAGTTTCAAACCCCAAGTAACAAACTAATAGAATTATAGAATTTATATATTTAAATTTATAGAACAATATTGACTTTTATAGTAATTAATAAAATAAAATTATATCAATGTTACTGAGCATGCGCATTAAAGATAATTTCATGTAAGCGAAGTAGTAGCCTCGCAACAAGATATCATTCAAGGAATGTTTGGTTATGGTAGAGTACGTTTATAATAAATCACTTGAAGAAAAAACACTCAATAAACACACTGACACAGTGCAACACCAAGAAAAACAATAACAATACTTAGTAGAACTAGAAAATGCCAAGATTAAACAAAACAAGAGAAAATACGCTAGTGATGACAGCGATAACATATCAACAAGAGCTCACCTGCGTATGAGGCTATTCTTTCCGAGCATGAACATTAGGAAAAACGCGACTAATGTTAAATTTTTACTTTATTTAAATTTAGGAATATTCTTTTATATTGTTCTTTGTAAGGTCTTGTAAGGTTTTTGTAAGGTCTGTACAATTTCAACTATGATAATTTGTTGCGGGTTGCCTAAATATGTGACATCATACTAAAAGAGTCTATTATAATTGTTATTAACCATCAATGAATATAGTATATGATTAGTTGAGGCAATATGGCAGAGCGTTAGCACCCTATGGCTATGGTAAAACTAAAAGAAAGAAAGGATCATTCTAAGAGAGACAACGGTTCTATTTCTGCTGTGAATCCATGTTTATGGGTGTTTGAATATTATAGATTATCCGTTTTCGCATATATACATGTAGATACATTATACTATATTCAGATGTATTTTACATTGAAATACATGTACTATTTGCAAAACGTGGTTAAATTTGTTTGACGTATAATTAAAAATATAATTTAAATTTGATCATCATTCCGAATGAAAGACTCAGTTTTTAATAATAAATTAGACGTTATATTTTCTAATATTGGAATAAGGTCAGTTCGATTGAAATAAATGCAGTGATTGCAAACCACGTGACCAGTAATTCTGTTCGGAAAAATAATTTTAATTCCTTCACGTTGGCAATTAAAACGTCGGTAAAATTATAACAGTGAGATCAAGATTACGTTAAAAATGAACATTCTACGTCACGGGCTGGTGATTGGTGTAGTTTTTCACGAGATTTTATTCATCCAATCAGCGATCGCATTATCTCGTGCGTAAACGTAATGGTTTGGCATTGTTCGTTGTAAACGAATCATTAATATTGTTGAAGCTATGATTTAGGGATTTTTAGTTGACAGCACCCACCGTGCAATATTGGTTGCCTAAGCTCGGCGATCACGCGGCTTGTAATCATTCATGAAGGCTCCGTAGATTTTAATAGAAGCAGTGCAAAGTTGGTTAAAAATTACACCAAGTCTTTTTTGTAAAGGGCATCCAAAAAAACTGTGGAAAAATATGTATATCTCAATCAATTCCCGCATGTGCTCCTATACAAATGTTATTAAATCATTTCTGTCATTTAATCACATTCCCTGGTAGGACGCCACTCATAATCAAGGATCATTGACAATACATTCAACCAGATCCGAACCTGTTTCGAATACAGAAAGGATCATCGATAACTTACTTGGGAGGGCAATTGTGAATGTTGCATTCGACGACTGTACGGTCTGGCTTTTGAGAGTCGTTGCAGAGCTCCTCTTCGACTTCCTCCGCCGTCACCCGGTTCTGGCACACGGGACGTGACATCTTGTATCCTACAACAAGCATGCAACTTAGCACATTTGTTATCGCTTAGCGGCTCGGGTATGCGGAAACCCTTTTGAATGCCTGCTTTGTCGAGCAAGCGAGAAGTCGAATAGGCCCGTTAGTACCTATTTAATCCGGCGATATACAGGGCGTCTGTGAAAAGGCTGTTAGCGTTTAATCCGAGTAAGAAAAGTCTATTTGACCAATTCTTAAAAAATACGTCTTCATTTCTGTAAGATTCAAAACAATGAGTAATAACAGGAATGTTACTAATCACTTGCACAACAAGATAAAAGTAATATTTTCATTTGCGAACATTTCAGCGGCGTAGAAGTAGTTTTCAAAAAGATATGAATATTTGTTAGTGAATTATCTTGCCATATTCAGAGAGTGCAACTTATTAGATACTTTGTATTCAATTTGAATCGATTTGCGATCATTTACGAGTTTTGGATCAACTAGAGAAGATTTAATAAAACTTGAATACATTAAAAAAGTTTTGAAATTGGATTCCTGTTAATCAAAAATGGCCCAGATGTAAAAAGTGGATCCATTTACGTAATACTGGATTTAATAGATCTACCTTTTTCACAACATTGAGATGATATGCTTTCATACTAGAATTATTAATTTCTCTTCAATGAAATAATTAACAGTTTAAGGTTGGGTAACAGAAACAACAATAACAACAAGTTGATGTTACTGAGAATGCCACGATATTTGCTTATAATAGCTGTTGCTTTAGCTTTGTCAGTATCGCTGTGAATATGACTATACGAAATATAATCTACAAAATTATGGGGCTATATTGGTTATTTGTTTTGTAGGCCTTTATAAGGCTATTTTGATTTTGAACTGAAGACTTCTGAACTTTATAACGATTTTATTCTACAGAGTGTTTCATTTTAAACAGCACCACATCCATATTTTAGTAAGGTTGTATTCCATTTGGAATACTCGATGACGTCTGCTTTGCCATATACAATTTCTATTTTTACCTCAATTTCATGGCCATTTACTTTAGTGGGTATAGTTTTTACAATGCGATATTTAACCAACATTTATAAAATCAATATTTAATTAATTTTGTTGAGCTATTTTAGATTGGAGTTTGCTACAAAAGATAGTATTTATAATATGACATCAACAAAGTTGGTCAGTTATTAATATTCAATGTTTTAGATGAAATACAAAGGGGCTCCCTTGTTAATATTACGACAAATATAGGCAATCCTTATAATTATAATGATAAAAAAATAAATGAGAAAGTATTGAAAGTATGAATTTCTTTTTTGAGCTTACCGTTATTATTATTTTTTGTAATATTCACTTCTAATATTCTCTTAACCTTTTTTTTTTTAAATAAGTTGTTTTAAAGCTTCTGTTTTCAATATTTCTGTGTAATGAAGATTATTATTGAAACACAATAACTGTGATATCCAAATTTAGTACAGTACAAAATTGTGTATTTGTTATTACATCAACAAAACGTACGTCTGAAATACCCAGTATTTCAGACGTACGTATTAAAAAAGTGACAAAGATAATACAAAAAATTATAGACCAATAGCAATTCTTTAAAATGGCCATTAAAAATTTATACATACTTTTAGTACAGGTATAATAGAATATCTGTACAAGTGCATAATTTTATAAAACAACTTAGATAAACTTCTAGCAATTAATCAAGTGGACGTTATAAATACTAACTTTCAGAAAGCATTAGATTATGTATGACATGGTGGCACTATATTATAAAAACTTAAATTACCTGACATTTTTGTTAAATTAATTACAACTTATTTTCAAAACAGAAAACAATGTCTCCATATGTCGTTGTCCGGCATACACCAAGATCCCAAACTTGGGCCGATGACATTTTTAATTTATATTAAAAATCTAACTGAAACTTTACTACATCATAGTAATATATCTTGTATAAAGAGCACGTAAAAATATGCAGGGTGTCTCTCAAATGCATGTACCAACGAGCCACTCTATATTCTTAAGGTCAAACTACGACGATTTACGCTAATTTACCTATATGCAAAAATGCGCCGTAAGGGCGCCAGCGGGCGCAAAATTTTTTGAAAAAATATTGAAAATCGACTACAAAACGAAAGTGTTGAACGATTAAAATTAAATTTGGTACATGAAAATATATTGACAAAAGGCTCTTCCTGATGTAATTAATGTTATTTACCGACTTGCACAAATGCAATAAAGTTGATACTTCAATTAAAATAATATTCATACTTTTCTATATACCTACTATCTGATTGGAATTTGTGCATAGAGATAAATTAGCGTAAATTGTCGAAGTTTCACCTTAAAAATTTAGGATGGCTCGCTAGTACAATCGATTCAGGGAGACCCTGTACTTTAAAGTCGATGAGTTAAATACAATATAATTTCAAAATAATTTAAGTAAAATGTATTAATGGATATGTGGTACCTACTGGGCTACATGATATAAAATAAATGTTAGAATGCTGTCCAGAATTGGAACAATGAGGCTTTACTGGGTATTACTTTTGACATTTGTGTCAAAAGTTTATTTTAAATTAATAATATAATATTCCATAACAAGTAACGCTACGAAAATGTATAAATTTGTAATATATATAATACAAATTTAAGTGCTATTCTCTGTTAAATCACAACTAGAATATTGTTCGACCATTTGGTGTTTTTTATGCATACTACAAGGAATTGGTGTATATGGTAATACAGTTGAAAAAATATGTTAAAAGAAAAAATTAATTACATTTCTAAACGGTTCTGTAAACACTATAGCATATTACAAAAAAAAGGTATACTTGTCGAAATTCNTGTTATGGTGAAGCAAGACATCATTTGTGTTAGTTCGTAGAAAGTGAGTAAGACGGACCCAAATGTGTTTACACGTGAGTGGATAAAATTTTGAACAATTGCTGTTGCAGCATCGGGTATGTCAAATGATTTTATTATTTAAAAACACAAATTAATTTTATTAATAATTAATAAAGGCAAAAGCATTTGAATTTGCCGATATAAAATAGGTGCGATAAAATTCTATTTACATATTTCTTTCCTTGCGAAAGTTTTTGTCCGTTTTTATCACGCCGCCATACCGGTCGCATTGTGCGAGGTCAGGTATAACAGTGGACCAGTTTCCAGTGCCGTGCAGAAGTGTATTTTTAAATCAATTTCGAACTGGCCTTTTTGATTTTTTCATTACAAAATTGTATTTCTAAGGGTCCCCTGTATATCCAGAATTTTTTTTTGATAAGTTCTGAATCACTCTGTATAATTTGTGTTAATTAGGTACAATATCATTTAATGTGCTGTATAAAAACCATCTCATTTTCTTATAAGATCTACATCAATAGCGGTTCAATATTATGAATTATTTTCCTTATACAGAATATTCCAAGTACTACATTCCAAAAATTGTATTTACTAAAGTAAACACTCTACATTACCTAATGACATGAAATTTTTATAGCTTCAAACAGGGATTAGTTTTTCGAATACAAACTATCAAATTGGGGTAGAAACGGAAATTACATATTGTGAGGTAGACAAAGAAATTTGAAAAAACATCTATTTGTTCAAAAATGGCGCTACTTAAAGTGAAACACTCTCCAATTAAATTTTTTTTTTCCTGGAACTTAATTATAAAAAATAAATTTATCATAATACGTATGCCTAAATTTCCATACATGTCCATACGTATAGGCCAAACATGTCAGTTAACTATGATATTACTATACATGAATTCAATGCTCTTGTAGCTGTTTAGGCAAACATAAGATTAACATGATAATCTATTAATTACCAGTTTTCCTGTTAATTTCCTGCAAATTCGCATAACAATTGACCCCCATATTGGACATTATATCCTCCAATATAATTAACTCAGTCCTAGCTAGTTTATAGAAAATATTTTGCGTATGAGAATATGAAAAACACAATATGGAGGACGTATTGGCAATTTAATATCTTACTTGTAAAAGTTAAGCATTTTCTTTGAGGTGTACCAAAAAATATACAAAATGGACACTCTACGGGGACTGTTCAGAAAATAATCGAACCTGTTGAACTACCTACGGGCTAAGAGATATATTTAGTGATATTTAGGCCTTCGATTTCAACTGATGACTCCCACTTTTAGGAAGTTAAAGATTTGGTGCGTGAAAATCTGTAATTGACTGTCAGAGAAATTGTAGAAAAGGTTAGCATCGCAATTAGGTCATTTCATGAAATTTTGACTGAAAAATGCATCGAGTTGCAGCAAAGTTTTTTCCTCAATTGATGACCGAACAACAGAAAGAAAATCGTGTGGACGTTTGTCGGTAAACTGAACAATCCAATGACGATGAAACATTCATTCAAAGGATCACAACGGGAGATGAAAGCTGGGCTACGACATTCAAATAAAAGTTCAATCACAATGGATTGGCAAAGAATCCACTCCCCAAGAAAGCACGTCAGTCTCGATTCAATGTTAAAGTGATGATCAGTGTTTTTTTTTCGTCTTTAATGGAATTGTGAATTTGGAATTCTTGCCTCAAGATAAAATAGTGAGCCATGTTTACAACCAAGGCGTTTTAGAATTTTATATTATGAATTATGCTTATTGTCTTTTATTTCGAGATATTGCGTATCAAAAATCAATTTTTCAAAATAAAATTTGGCAAATTTTGATTTTTTAAAGTTGAACACCTTACAGCGAAGCAGTTAATTGGAGGGAAGAGTTTCTAAGATTAAAAAAAATAAAATGGGACACTATTAAAAAAAAATCACAAAAGTCTGTATCCGACAAAGATTAAGATCCATTACATATATAAGGGAGAAAATTTTAATAAATTAGTTTTCATCCGTCCTTTATCACAAAACAGTGTATAAGAAGAAAGGTTATAGATATAATATGATTTAAAACATCTCATCTGTAACATACAGGACATCCATATTTTTTATGTATTTTACAAACGTCTTGAAACATTTTCTGATATTTCTTCATGTCAGGCTCATTTGAAAAGGAAAATACGATGCTATCAAATACTTAATAAAAATATATAGGTGGTCCCACAAAAATGGATTCTCTCATAACTTCTGATAATATCAATAATACAAAAAAATATTTCAACAATAGTTCTCAACAGAGTTCTTTCTCTTGTGGGTCTTACTTGACTTCATTTTTTATATTATAGAACATCCAATATGTTATTGTATTTGTAAATTCCTTATTGCATATAAGGTTTACCGAAATAAACAAGTGTTGTGTCTATGCATTACAGTTTCATTTGATGAAAAAAGTTATTTGCGACATCGTCGAAAAGATTATATTCCCCATTTTTTCAAGCATAAAAAACATATATATTACTTAGAACATGAAAATTTAAGTCAATGGTATTTTGACTTAGGCATTTCTAATAGAAATTTGACACAGGCAGATGCAAAGTTTCTTCCGATTCGTATCATAAATTTCTAGAGTTATGATGGAATCTAATTATTATTTGTCGTTTGGGAGATACTCGCTGTTCTTCATATTTTTTGTTGCAATTTCCGCTTTAAAAAATGGATGAAAATGGACTATTTGCTAATCAATGGGGCTTTAAATTTAAGTGTTCTATTGTGTAAACATTTTTAGATTAAAAATAAAAATATATATAATATACAGTACGCGCCTAAAGTATGGAATAAATTCAGTAAAAACGAAACAAATTTTTTTTGGGAAAAATCCTCGAACAGGTCTATTTTTAATTTAAAAAATACATATTTTCGCATAAAAGGCGATTTTCAACCGTCATTTGTTTTCGAGTAATGACGTCATCGACATTTTTTTTAAATAGCAACCCCCTATTTTTTTTCTTGATTCTGAAAGATCGCTTCATTGTCGATCCGACAGTATCAAAATGTTGCCATCTTACATAGGAAAGTTTTCGAGTAATTGACGATTGAATGTTAGAAAACGTAAATTTTATTCATTAAAAAAATAACAATTCCTATGTCAAGCAAATACAATTCATTAAGTTTTCTACCTAAATTAAGTGTTCGAATTGCCACCCACCGACTTCTTGACAATACGCAAGTATGTGTAGAAATTCTTCTTGCACATTTGAATTATTTCTGGGGTAACATTGTGTATTTCATCTCACAATTTTGGAGTTCTTTTAAATTATGTGGTCTATTAACGTACACTTTGGACTTTAGGTAGTCCCATAAGAAATAGTCTAGGGGTGTAAGACCTGTGGATCTCGAGGGCCATTCTGTCGATCCTCGTCTGCCGATCCACCTCTTAGGAAAACAACTGTCCAGAAAATCTCGAAAAGGGTGCGCATAGTGCGGAGGTGTACCGTCTTGCTGAAACCATATGGTGTCATCAGGAATATCATATCAGGGTCATTATCGTTAGGAAAAATTACTGCAAGTGCTGGAACAAGGTCATTTTGTAAAAACTCTAAATATCTTTTTCCTGTAAGGGTTTTTTCAAAGAAGAAAGGGCCTACTATTCTGTTGTCAACTATTCCAGCCCACACATTTAATTTATGTGGGTGTTGGGTACATGTGCCATTCAATGAGGATTTTCCCGACTCCTATACCTGTAAGTTTGACGGTTCACTGTATCATTGAGACAAAACGTGTCCTCGTCTGAAAAAAGTATTTGCCGGTGTAAATCTCGATTTCCTTGACATAAATCCATCATAATTTCACAAAGTGTAAGCGGCGGTCGGGATCGTCTTCATTGAGTTCCTGCACAAGTTAAATTTTATAGGGATGATATTTTTCTGCCTCAGGATACGTAGCACTGTGGTCTGACTAATTTCACTGTTTAATGCAACCAATCGTGAAGTATTATGAGGATTATCTACTTTTCTTATTAAAATGTTCTGTTTGTGATCTTCAATAACGCTTGGACGTCCAGGTTTTGGAATATCTACAACATTGCCAGTTTCTCTAAATTTAGATTCTATCTCTCTAACTGTTGATTGGCTGATACGGCGATCTGGATGTTTTTCATTAAATAAATCGCAAACTTCCTGCTGCGTTCTAGTCTTATCCCCGCATCCGATAAGAATTAAAATTTCAATTCTTTGTGTGACAGTTAAATGTGCCATAATACTTTAAATTCAACAATAATCGCTTACAGTACTTAGAAAGTCGGTATAACAGTGACACTTTGTAAAGATTTGCACCTACGTGATCCATAAAAAACTTTCGGCATTTCGAAAAACTAAATTTGATAACGTTTTTGCTTTATTTTAATTGATTTGGGTTTTCTAATATTCAATCGTATTTACTGGAAAACTTTCCTATGTAAGATGGCAACATTTTAATACTGTCGGATCGACAATGAAACGAATTTTTCAGAATCAAGAAATAAAATAGGGGGTTTTGCTATTTAAAAAAAATGTCGATGACGTCATTACTCGAAAAAAATGAAGGCTGAAAATCGCCTTTTATGCTAAAATATGTATTTTTTAAATTAAAAATCGACCTGTTCGAGGATTTTTCCAAAAAAAAATTTGGTTTATTTTTACTGAATTTATCCATACTTTAGGCGCGTACTGTATATTAGTTACTGTGCTTTTATAACATAATTTATCTCTTTTTTAACAAATTGAGTAGAAAGTGTCTAATTTGGGTATTTTCAGCGAGTACGCTTTTGTGTCTATCTTTAAATTTTACGTTATAAAGTAAACAGACCCGTGCCGCTAGGAAAGCCTTATTTTTATGTTCAACCAATTTTTGAATGTATAGCCTTTTCTTTTCAATACTTCCTGTCCATTTGAATTAAAGACTTGGTGGATTTTTATTATACAGGCACTATTACATTTAACCCTGCTAAATTCATATTTACACAATCGTCAACAATATGTATATTACAACGGGTTCTGCTCAGATACTTACTGTTCAACAAGTGGAGTCCCACAGGGATCAAACTTGGGTCCCTTGCTTTTTTTGTTATTTGTAAATGACATAAGTGATACATTAAACTGTAATGTCTTAATGTTTGCTGATGACTTGAAGCTATACTCATCTATTTCTTGTTTTGAAGATTGTTTAGCATTACAGGAACAGATCAANATCTTACATAGGAAAGTTTTCGAGTAAATGACGATTGAATGTTAGAAGACGTAAATTTTATTCATTAAAAAAATAACAATTCCTATGTCAAGCAAATACAATCCATCAAGTTTTCTACCTAAATTAAGTGTTCGAATTGCCACCCACCGACTTCTTGACAATACGCAAGTATGTGTAGAAATTCTTCTTGCACATTTGAATTATTTCTGGGGTAACATTGTGTATTTCATCTCACAATTTTGGAGTTCTTTTAAATTATGTGGTCTATTAACGTACACTTTGGACTTTAGGTAGTCCCATAAGAAATAGTCTAGGGGTGTAAGACCTGTGGATCTCGAGGGCCATTCTGTCGATCCTCGTCTGCCGATCCACCTCTTAGGAAAACAACTGTCCAGAAAATCTCGAAAAGGGTGCGCATAGTGCGGAGGTGTACCGTCTTGCTGAAACCATATGGTGTCATCAGGAATATCATATCAGGGTCATTATCGTTAGGAAAAATTACTGCAAGTGCTGGAACAAGGTCATTTTGTAAAAACTCTAAATATCTTTTTCCTGTAAGAGTTTTTTCAAAGAAGAAAGGGCCTACTATTCTGTTGTCAACTATTCCAGCCCACACATTTAATTTATGTGGGTGTTGGGTACATGTGCCATTCAATGAGGATTTTCCCGACTCCTATACCTGTAAGTTTGACGGTTCACTGTATCATTGAGACAAAACGTGTCCTCGTCTGAAAAAAGTATTTGCCGGTGTAAATCTCGATTTCCTTGACATAAATCCATCATAATTTCACAAAGTGTAAGCGGCGGTCGGGATCGTCTTCATTGAGTTCCTGCACAAGTTAAATTTTATAGGGATGATGTTTTCTGCCTCAGGATACGTAGCACTGTGGTCTGACTAATTTCACTGTTTAATACAACCAATCGTGAAGTATTATGAGGGTTCTACCATACTTATTAAAATGTTCTGTTTGTGATCTTCAATAACGCTTGGACGTCCAGGTTTTGGAATATCTACAACATTGCCAGTTTCTCTAAATTTAGATTCTATCTTACTGACTAAATGTTTTTCATTAAATAATTCGCAAACTTCCTGCTGCGTTCTAGTCTTATCCCCGCATCCGATAAGAATTAAAATTTCAATTCTTTGTGTGACAGTTAAATGTACCATAATACTTTAAATTCAACAATAATCGCTTACAGTACTTAGAAAGTCGGTATAACAGTGACACTTTGTAAAGATTTGCACCTACGTGATCCATAAAAAACTTTCGGCATTTCGAAAAACTAAATTTGATAACGTTTTTGCTTTATTTTAATTGATTTGGGTTTTCTAATATTCAATCGTATTTACTGGAAAACTTTCCTATGTAAGATGGCAATATTTTGATACTGTCAGATCGACAATGAAACGATCTTTTAGAATCAAGAAAAAAAATAGGGGGTTGCTATTTAAAAAAATGTTGATGACGTCATTACTCGAAAACAAATGACGGTTGAAAATCGCCTTTTATAATAAAATATGTATTTTTTAAATTAAAAATCGACCTGTTCGAGGATTTTCCCAAAAAAATTGGTTTATTTTTACTGAATTTATTCCATACTTTAGGCGCACACTGTATATTAATTACTGTGCTTTTATAACAGAATTTATCTCTTTTTTAACAAATTGAGTAGAAAGTGTCTAATTTGGGTATTTTCAGCGAGTACGTCAATACATCCTGTCCATTTGAAATAAAGACTTGGTAAATTTTTATTATACAGGCACTATTACAATATTAATTATATGTGTTATTCGGCACTATCAATCAATTGTATGCAATACATACCCCCTCCACAGGTTGCTGAGCACAAAGAGGCGTAAGTCAACGTCCAATGGTAGAGGGGCCTCGAACAGGAAGACCCATCTCCCCCGCAAACCCCACATTCATCCACTTGCTTGGTGGATCCTATTTTCAAATCACAGCCGACTCTCTGCAAGAAGAAGGGAAACAAATTTACAGGAAAACGAATATACAGTTGGCTGTGATCGGCATACGAAATTAGGCGACTGGTGATGTATGTTGGGGTTAAATCATTTGAACTTTTGTAACGGTTTAAATTAGTCGATCGTATACACTTTACTTTCCAACTCAAGTTAAATGACGTGTTAAAAAATTTACATTTTCCGAATTGCTACTTTTTAATTAGTTATCCACTGTTGGGATCTGTCTTACTGTAACAGATAGATGGTTAAATGAGCAAAAATATGTAGAATTTTATTTTGCAATCTGATTTCGGATTTTCATTCTGATCAGCGCTTAATATATTCTTCTTCTTCTTTTGTTTCTCATTTAGATCGTTATTCACTTGTTTTAAGTGATATTTATGGGGAAAGGTGCTACTTAAACCTATTCAAGAAACACGAATTTTTCTTATTTCTTATTTTGATATAATTTCACTTGTTTTTTGGCACACATCAATCTGTTTAACCATCTCTCCTATGTTAGTCACACAAACCCAAGTAGCTTGATGTTTTTAGGCATTATTTGAAGTGATTCAATGTTTTTAATTCTCAAAATGTCAATACTTGATAGATTAGATTTTTGACCATAACTGTTTGACTTGACAAGTTATTATGCTTGATTTCAGGTAATTTGAAAAACGTTTTAACTTTCGAAAAATTTGAAGTTAACAGTAGTTACTGAAGAAAATTAGTGCTAAATTATTTGTTGCACTAGTCATTATTTTTTTATTAATTAATTGTTTCTCCAAATGCATGCCATATCTAAATGTTTTTGGTTAACACTGGCTCTTTCCTTTCATTATATTAAAAGCTTGTGGGGTTTTAGTTTAATAAAAAAAGAAAAGCTTATGCATTTATATTTTTATGCAATTAATGTTTTCATATATTTTAATATATAATTCATAACAAATGTTTCATATTTTTTTATTTTGTATCACCATACTGAAAAATTACGATTAAAAATCAGACTTTAGGTAGTTCTTGACAATATAATCATTTTATAAATCTAATTGTTATTTCTTAGTACCAAGTAAAATTGAAAAAAATTGTTGAATAAAAATCAAGTAATTTTGAGCAACCGATATCAATTTAAGTCAAGTAGTATGAAAATCAAGTCAGATCGTAAATCCTAATCACAGCTTATATACAGGATTCCACAAATTAGTAGACCAATCCGCCAATCACAGATTCCTAATGTGAAAGTAGTGAGACTTTCCATTTGTCAGTTTTAATTTTAGCGCCCCGTTTTCGAATTAACACCCTGTATCTTGTAAACGGGACGCCGTTTAATTTTTAGAGTCAGTTTTCAATTTTCATTTTGTATCTCTGGCAAAGTTTTACGTGTATAATAAAAAAAAAATCCTTTTCAAAATTTCGATGTAAACCACTATCTCAAAAACGGAGCGTTTTAATTTTATAAATATACAGGGTGATTCACAAATGGTGACCAAAAATGAAACCTCGTAATCTTTGGTGAATTTTAAGGGGAGTCTTTCCTAGAAAGTTATTATCTAGGATGCGTCGTTAAAAAAATATAGGGTGTTAAACTTAAAAAAATATTTTTATACTTTTTTAATAATTTGTAAACTGGTAAGTGAAATAATTTGAAATTGGGCACATGTATTTATGTAAACATTGTCCAAAATCCAGGGTCCGTTGCGAAGTCACAAGATCTGATTTTCATATAAAGACGAAGGAATTCAAATCTTATAATGATAATGACAGCGTTCAGTTAAAAAATTATAGTTGTAAATGTAAAATTGCCTCCTAATTTACGAAATAACAGTATGTATTCGATATTTTTTTTATAATTTCTGTATTTCAAAACGTGTTCAATATATAAATGAGAATTATTACACGCAAGAAATATTATTAACATTATCATTATTTGACATTATAAACTACTATTTCTTCGATTTTTTTTATAATATAAGGACGCCATTTAACTACAAACACAAAACAAGATTTTAACCAGCTCCTTCGCCATTTCCATGAATATTGAATGAAACATCCCTTTTATGTTTTAAATCTATTAAAAATATAGTTCACTGCATTATAGTGAAACAAACAATAACAAATAAACCAAGGAAATAATTTTGCCAGTTACACCACCTTCTATTCTTGCCAACTTCCCTCTCCTCTTTATTTTACAAAATCTCATATCCTCACTAAAGAAATAGAAGTGAAGTGACAAAGCTGCGATGGAGAAAGTATGTAGAAGGCAGTGCCGTCCAATTCAGGAAATAAAATTTGAAAGTCCTAATAATTGAACATATTACTTTCGTTTATTGTACAAGTAGATTTTTATTTTATTGTACGTTTACAATGAAAACGTATCTACATACATTTTTGCATCAGATTGTTAATAAAATGTATAATAAGTATGAATTAACACAAATAATCAAAAATGTACGATAATGTAACTAAAAAAATTATAAATGTCCTGCACAAAAATAGATACTACTAATAAAAAATAAAATTATATTTACAACTTTTTATCGTTGTCATCAGTACCACTGTCCTTATTTTTTCCGAGTAGTTAAAACGCAGGAAACGAAACGCAAACTATCAGAAGAAAATCAATTTACTGAGAAAAATGTATCTCACAAAAGCACCAGATAAAGAATCCTTAGAAGAACTGGCTTCATCGCAGGAGACAAGGATGAGAATTTAGTCGTCTTGGCAAAAGTGTGTACTAGATGGACCTTCTTCTCTAGAATCAGCTTCATGAACAAACTGATGGGGCAGATGTGGGTTCATTTTTATTCCCCGCTCTAGTAAATACCTATATGGAAGCCTTCGACAACAAAGCCCAGGAATAGCAACTCTAAATCCAAAATATTGTTCTGATTTATTAACGATACCTAAACTTATTATTTGGTTTCATGGATACAAGATAGGATTCCTGAACTAAATCAATGATACATCCTGATATCACCTTCATCGGAAAAATCGAAAAACTGGTATCCTACAGTTCCTAGATGTATAAAAAGTCAACTCGAACGAATAGATATCTGAATGCTGAGTCTCAGAAAGAACAATACCTTGTTGACAATAACTTATTAGTATATTGAACATGCGCCATCTCTAAGCTAGACCACTTGATAAGCTGCATTTTAGGGAAACTAATAATACTACTATGTGCAACACTTCAATAGGAATTGAACAAACAGGAATATGCGTTACTACGAAGTTAGAGGAGTACAAGTGTTACTTGTAGAACAACTTCAAGGCAGATATATAGGACACGCTACAAACTTAACTAATACCAGAATTATGGTGACAGAAAAAGAGAGAGACTATTTCGGTCATACTAAGGGAAGCAATAAAAGTCTAGAAGAGTACAAATAATTTCAAGGGAGACAAGGTGCTAAATCTAAATGAAATTTGGAAACGATAGATTCTTAAAAACGAAGGGTAGGGATGTCACAGACAAGTCATGACAAGTCACAGAAACATATGAATCACTGCACACAATATAAATACCAGCCAGAGAACATAATCTCCATGTTCAGAATTTACTTTGAACAAACGTCAATAAGTTTAAGTCGACGACATGGAAATCAGTCCGAAAATTGTTCAACAATTAACAACTGCTACAAAAGCGTACAAAACAGGTTACTAGCTAAAAGTTTAACATATTTCTGACTTGTTTTGTATAGCCAGTGCTACTTGATTTACGGAAAACTGTTTGTATATGGTATATACCACGGTATATGGTCCAATAATTTTGTTTTAACATATAGAATTCAGAAGATTATATTTTGAAGTATAGGAATCGTAACAAATATTATACGAAAGGTACAGATATTAGTAAAAATGGTTTTCTATTAATTTCTGGTCTATTTTATGTGTTCCATTTCACCGATACGTGCCGCCACTGGAGCAGGATATGCATCTTATGCGGAGTGGCGCCTACAGGAGCGCACCCCGACTCGATACACTTCAAACCTTTCATTTATTCATCACCCTCGTCTCAAGTGACACTCTTCAACCAAAACCAAATGGTTTTGTGAACCGTGTGTCATTATTGCCACATACTTAGCACTGAATATTTTATGTTGTCGCTTTCTTCGTAGCAGCTCGGATCATAGCATTATCACTGTTTCATGAATATTTTTGAAATATTACAATCACGTTCATTCTGTATAAGTCAAATTCGGTTTGAATAATATAAAAAGTGTTGTATAGGTAATTTGAGTATGCCTCTTTCTGAAGATTTATACAGCTGAAGTTATGAAAATAAAATAAAAAATAAATATAATCACCTTAATGAATATAGCCACTATTTTGAAAGACTGGTAGTTTAAAATTTCCTATTATACAGGGTATACCATATTTTCACTACGAAAATTATGAAGTTTTACTTTCGAAATTGCTTCTTTTTTTTGAGGTACATTGTGTTAAGGTATTTAGAAAGAAGATTGTAATATAACAACCCCGGGTTCGATCGAAAAAAATATAAACGTAGTTGTGGCCAGAAACATGTGATAGTCATAAGGAATACCTACGTTGTACTTATCTATTTTTTTTTAATTGACCGGAAGGCGCTGGCTACTAACTTTAAAGAGGGGAAGTATGGTTTAATTTTATAAAACAAAAGCAGAGTAAATACACCTAACTTTATTATTTACGTACAACTATATTCAAATTAAACATGTGACAAATAGAAAGAACAACAAAGACATTAACAACCATTTAACATAAAATGAGACTGCCAGGCTCACCTAGAGCTCCTGTGGGCAAAGAGCATGGCAGAGAAACCCACGATCGTTGCTCTAACTACCCAAATATAAATATAAAACAACCGCTAACAAAAGGCATAAATTAGGATCCTTTGCTAATGATAAATTAACACCCGACTTATTTAATATGTCACTAAATGTCACCTCACTCGAATTAGACATACACACTTCCAAGTAAAACTGAAGAGGTTTGGTGTTAGTTAGCCGGCAGGGCCGGAAGGTAC